CAGTCTACATTTAGAGCGAAAATTGAGAATGAAAGCTGTTTTTATCTCTACCAAATCATGCAAACTGGATTTTTTTTTTAAATAGAGTTGTAGACCGACGTCTGATCTACAATTTAGCCACTCCAAAATTTCTTCAGTGGCGGACTTTTGGGAAAAACTGTAAGAGAAAGTCGATCTACAAAAAACGGAAAAGATGCTTGTAAAATGATTATATCTAAAGAACAACAAAAAAAAGTAAACAAAGTTGAACACTAATCATATGGTTAGATTCACAATTCAATTCTGTACAGGATGCGCTGCTTTCCTTTTCTTTTTATATCTTTTTATATAATCAAAAATTCAGTTTTCAGATGATGAGTCATCAGAAAATTGAGTTTTTTCAACTTTCGAGTCCCATAACTTTACAACGAAAGGACGTATCGAGTAGAAAAATTTTGTGGAAGTGGGCAAAGTACTGGGCAAAGTACTAGGCAAAGCACAGGAAAAAATTTGCTCAATCGAGCCTCTTGTAACCTGAATTATTATAGAAACATATCTAAACAAGTGATTGTACTAGAAAGTTACGTTTCTCTCATATAAAGTAAAGTTCGAAAAATTTTTATTTTCGTATAACAAGACAAATAGTTTTTATTAATCCGCCTGTTCATACATATCAAATATACACATAAAGGGTGTTCTAGAAGTTCTGAAGTAATTTTAAAATGATGCATTTTAAAATTACTTCAGAACTTCTAGAACACCCTTTATGTATGACAGAATGTGTTACAGAATTAGGCGCAACGATATTGTATGTGTTTTTGTATTTTTAGTAACAAGAGTAGAATAAATAGATGAAGATGAAATAACGGCACACGAGACGAGATGGAAATCGCGAGACAAGACGTTCAAAGATCCCGATTTGCCTACCTTTGGTGTAGTAAATTAAAAATCTTTTAGATCTTGAACAGTAATTTCACAAAGGAGAGTTGATTGTATATTTGGATTTTATGTGCTTACTGCTAATTGTAGATAGCCTTTTGTGATGGAACTTCAGTACAAAAAACGGTGCTCGGCAATGGTTGTCACTGTAGAACAACAACAAAAAGATCATATACCTCGATGATAAGAATATCACACTAGAATATAGAAGAATATCACTAAGCGGACATTAGGCTATACTAGAATTGTAGAGGCGTTGCAGGAGACACCACGGTAATGAGAAGCAAACAGAAAGGCGACTGTTTTAAGCTATAATGGTGCCAAACAATAATTCCCATATACAGTAATCATGCATAATTTTCAACACGTGTACACGTTTTGAAAATGACCGGTTAAAGGTCGAAATATCAACTAAATAAAATGAAGTTTAAAACAGCTACAATTATAATCAAGTTCTTGAGAATGTTTCAGAGGTTTATATCTGCTAGACGTTTTCAGAGCTTTCTTTTTGTTTCATATTGTAAGCGAAAGACATCTCTCGTCCGGTCACGTGTCATGACAGTATATGTTGCGCCATGTGTAGGTCATTCTTTATTCTGTTCTCTTATTTTCCCCTTCATCATCTATTGACTCAGGGGAAACCTAGCTACTATGTTATAGGTGATGATATGAGCGTTTATGTATACTGGAGATAATGGGCTACGATACGGAGAAACCAGAAACCTTAATAATAATTATATTTGACACATTAAATCCACAACAGTAATTGTGCCTGAGATGCAGATGCATTTTCATTTTTCCCCTTGTGCTAGTTATTGTTGACAAGTTAACATCATTAGTGCTGGTGTTAGTATTTTTAGTCAAAAAGTTAAGAGGGAAAAACACTTTTTTTTATTATAGCACCTTTCAGCACCCAAAACTACTGATTTAGCGTATCAGTAACGATCTCGCTTCGTAAAAATTCAAGATGGCGGATGGATAAAGGGATCGAATACGACCACGAACTTTTTTTAATTATTTTTCTTCCATTTGAATTACAAATAAAGTGTCATTGTCTTCTTAGCAGTATGATGCAAATGCAGCCACACTTCCTTCTGCAAGTTTATTAGTATACCAAAGGATCTGTGCAATGTGTGATTCTATCCCATTATCTTACGGCACCTTGCAGCACCCTAATCGGTACTAGGTGCTACTTTTTTCCTCTTACAAAAGCTACTCAATTATTTTTATTGATGTATTTTACGTCGTGTTTATCTTTATTTTTGCTTACTGGAAATGCGAGAAAAAACATATTCATTCCTTCAGCTCTCTTAAACTACAACGTAAAGAAAACGAAGCATTTCTCACATTAACCCTGATCCGACCACCTATAATATGCCCAAATTCTATCAGTTTCATTTGGATGCTGCCCGAACAAACGGTTAGATTTTACCCCTTCAATTTATATTCCACTGAATGACAATAGGGTGTACTATCAATATGAAGTGATTGCATCCATTCATTAGTTATCTGGCAGAGCAGTAAGACATATCTTCAAAGCACTCGTTTTCGTCTGGAGTCAGTATGAACCCCAGGTGGACGCATCAGGGTTAAAGTCCAGGAACTACTATTTACCTCTTCGGTCTTGTGGCTTTTTCTTTAAACCGCATCTTTTTTCATTTATTGTTAATAAGATCAATTAAATTACATGTAAGCTTCAAAAGAGCTGCTATTTATTAGTTTTCTAATACGGTTGAAACTACAGTCAAGATAAGCTGAAATGAAAAGGACACCAACATTGTCAACACTCGTATGTAGTTGGTGTCCTTTTCGTTTTAGTTAATTTTGATCAGAAATCATTGGTTTATAATACTGTTAAGTCCAGATTGTTTTCGCTCGCTTTAGAGTCTTTCAACTAGGTGTATTTTCGAGAAGAAAATCTTTGAATTCAGTGCACTTTGTTTACATGGTCGCACTCTGTCATTAGAAACGCTGATAATGAGTTATATAATTAATAGAACTTTACTGATTTTTGGGCACACAGATTACTAGGAAACACGCATGAATTAGAAACGAGAAGGAAAATAGACTGAAAAGGCTGGATAGAACATTAAAGTGAAGTTTTCCTTTCAATCTAACTAAGTCATGGGAACAAATAAATACAAGCAAAAGGTCAGAGATATAGCATATCACAATAATGCCACCGCTTACAAATAAACTCTTTAGGACCAGGGGCCTGTTTCTTAAAAAAACTTAAGTAGAAAATCTGACTTAAGTCAAACTTAAGTTCAAAAAAGTCTGTCTTTTTTGATTTAAGTAAGATTTTCTACTTAAGTTTTTTTAAGAAACAGGCCCCAGGTTTTCTCCTTTATAAAGACCAGTGATACAACGATCTATTCTATATTTTTTGTTCTCTTTTTCCCGTGACTTCAGTCTAGGGTCTTACAAAATAGTTGTCTGCCTGTGTGTGTGCGCAAAATACGGAACACTGGCTGTCAGATATTCCATGGATAAGCCAATCACAAGAGAGAAAAATAGAAAGTTCTTTTTTTAACCACAAGAGAGAGAATACTCAAAGAGATGGCTGAAATATCTACTGATGCAGAGAAACAAACAAGTTAAGCAAATCTTTTCTGTAGTTCTGAGACATGTCGCCAGAAATCAGTCAATTTTGATAACACAAAAAGTCATCTACAGACAATAAAACTTACAGAATAAAGATAGTCTATGATGGCGAATCGATCAGGAATGCTTCCAGCCCTTGGGATCTTCAGACCCTAGTCGAGACTCCCGACAAAACTTCCACGGGACTCCTGTCACGGGATCCTACGGGAATCAGGTGAGACTTTTAAGGGACTCCCGTGGGGCTTTGAGGACTTTCGTTAGATTCCCGCAGGACTCGGAAGTCCTCAAAGTCCCACAGGAGCCCCGAGCGAGTGCTCAAAAGTCCCTTGAAAGTCCCGCCTGACTCCCCCAGGATCTCGTGACAGGAGTCCCGTGGAAGTTTTGTCAGGAGTCTTGACTAGGGAAGGATATCTAATACTAGTTTAATTCAACAAAAACGACAACAGAAATAAAAATAAAAATAACAAGAAAATTATCCTATTAATAACCTAGCGAAAGAGTGGGGTGAAGAACCTTTTTAAAAAACAAGCATATTAAGGAATTAATGTCATGTGAGTAAGCGTGCATTAGTGAGAAGGAAAACATAGTGAGAAACAGAAATCTGTCATTTTTCCAGCAATGGCTTCGATGATACTGCTCTGGAAAAACTCTGAAGATTTTCGTCGCTATGGCATTGAATTTGTCTTGCTTAACGAAATCTGGAATGAAAGAAAAGAAATGATTAGTTACTAAGCTTTCTCTTCTGAACGATGCAATGTCATACATACCAGACACAGGCCAAAAATTTTCGGCCCGATCCGACCCGATGATGAAAGTTTCTGGGCCAAACCCGGCTCAGCCCGATCAAACGTGGAATTTATCTGGCCCGGTCCGATCACTTTCTAAAATTTTCTGGTCCCAGGCGTGATTTTTTTTCCTGTATCTGCAATGCGTTTGCTGGCTAAGTGATGTAAATGTATTTCTCAACAGCGTAACAGTGATAATACTCTTTCTCGGTACTAAGTATACACATAAATTAGAAATCCACGCATGCTTAGAAATTCTGAGTTCGACCCGGCGTGACTCGATCAAAATACTTTGCGACCCAAGCCAGGCCCGGCTACTCTATAAAATTTTCTAGCCCGATCCGACCAAAAGCCCGACCCGTGCTGATCTCTGATACATTATATGAGAGTAAATTTCTAGTGACGAATGCATGACTATGACAGCTGGCGTGTTTGTTCTTGAAACTACCAACTTGCCATATCACCACGATTATCTTTAAGAAAACAAATAACTACAAAAACTCATACAAAAAGCGGTACACAAATTGTATAAAACCTTAACAAACAAAATATTCTATGAAATAATTAGAAAAACAAACAAATACCAAAGTTGGCTACTAACTAATATAATTGTTAGAAACATAAAGTCATTCTCTTGTACTAAGAAGCAGTATCAAAGAAAAACGTCACCCGCTTTGAACACTCGATAGAGGCTTATTTGTAGGCTAAAATAACATCGCATGTGTTCGTTTTCTGCCCTTCAATTTTGAAATAACCAAAGGCATCCATTGAATCACACTCTTCTTGGACACTATTTTCCATTGCTGCCAGTAAACTCATCGCTAACAGCAATTCAGTTGTAACATCGTCTTCATTACTTTCTTCTACAATCATGCATAATCCATTCTCATCTGTTAACATTTCGTACGCTTGTTTGATCTTATACTTTTTCTGTTGTAGAGACCTACGTTTTCCATCAAATGATGAAGTAGATCAGCAGATATCCTCATAAAAGCTAGACTAGTTAAAAAAATCATTTTGGAGCCCTAGGATAGTATCTGTTGATGCGAGATAAGCCTGAAAACTGATGGAACATAGTTTATCAACCATAATGCTTTTGTAGGAAATGCATGTTTCAAGAAAAACGTTTAGAAACCTATTCAATACCTGATGCTATATTAGAAAAAGCCATATTAAATCTCAATTCAGCCGATAATGATAAAGATGATATAATTCAAGTATCAATGAAATATATAGCTCTCTAACATTTTTTCTCCGCAGATAAACCAATTCAATTTGATGAATGGCGTTATGATGAGATAGGTGGATGTCAAGATGATCAACATAGCTGCGAAGTCCATGCCGCGATAACTGCTCGAGAGATTTGTACTGGTACAAAATATCCGCCAATTACAAAAGACAATGTCAAGCATTTTAGGCAAGTATTGTACTTGATTTAATTACAGAAGCTAAATGAAAAGAAACTTATTAAGAAAATTAGAGAAGAGAAAGCAAATCAGGGAAACCTTCAAACACCATCATCAGCAAGCTGGATTCCTTAAATAGCTTAATCTGTGATGAAAATCAGAGAAGCTTTAGTAACACGAAAAGGTCGAACGTATAACAAGATTCTTTGGTAAAGAATCCTAGCATGATATTGTGTACAAGGAGATTTATTAGTGTTGTTGAATCTTATAGATAATCCTTCAGTAAGAAAGTGGTAATGCGTGACCATTTCAGGAATGGTATAAGGTTATTTTGCTTGAGTCAAGCAGCTTTCGTCGTGAAGATGACTACTCAGCCGATCTTTTTATTCTATTCTAAGTGTTTATTTGGCTTGAAGATCTCGCGTTTATGGTGAAGTTTTAACGACAATATTACTGTATTACTTTCCAAGACCAGTCCGTTTTTACAATTCAGGCATGCTTGATTTACAATATTCATCTCAGGCATTATACGGGCATGGAAGATTCGAGACATAGACGTGATTGGCGTCTGCGTATACGAGCACGCTACGGACAGGTGATCGAGACCGAATTCCTTCACCCTTCGTCAAGAGCTACAATTTGATGTATAATTATGCAATGTTTCGTTCATCTTCACCGACTTCGGTTTCACTCTCACCAAAAACTTGAGGTGTCTCGAAAACCACTTTTCACACGTTTTTTCGAAAAAGCGTAAGTGAGACCTTTAGGTTATTTTTGATGCTCTGCATCATGGGCAAAGTGAAACTTTCGCGGCAAGATGCTCTGTATAAAGTGGGCGGACGTGTGTAGAAGAACTCATCTACTAAACCTGCATGTCTGTTATTTACTAATGCGCTATTAATAAAAAGACGGGGTAAAAAACTCAAAGAAACACAAAAAAATTTGGAAAGTTTGTAAATAAAAATGTTAATTTAAAGGTGAGCAGGTAAGTACGCGGAATATTGTTTGTACATAATATGATTTTATCACTGCCCTGTTGCTCAAAGATAATAACAAATGATTAAAAAGATCTCGGATGGACGCTTGAAACTTAATGTATTTAAATTTGCTACTGACGCGTCGGATCTAATGTTAGCATATTCAGTTTGATTTTCGTACAGTTCCATCCGCTGGGTGAGTTCGAGTTTGCCATTTTCAGATTCTCTTCGGTAGTATTCTATTGATTTGTGAAATTCTATTTAGGGAATAAAAATTTGTTAAGATTAACCCGACATTACACGAGAATACTGTCAAAATTCTAATTTTGCGTAAGTATTTTTAGTCAGAGTTCGAATTTCAATTTTGTTTAGAGTCTTTTTTTTTGTCTTTCAATCAAGTTTTAATAAATACATCATGATAGGACAGACGTTTTAGCTTTAAGTCACTTATCATAGCACAACCTGTCTTCCTAAAGGGATCACCATCTCTAACTGCAAATTCCGATTTTGGTCTGGCCAAAATTAGAACAGTTCCACTTTTGGCCGGACAGATTCCAGATTTGGCTAGCCAAAGCTAGAATTCCAGTTTCTGTGGACTGGCCAAATTCGGAATCTAGCCGAGTTCTAAGTTTGGCCACAACATGGCTATGCCTTTGCCAGTGTGGTACGGAAGTAATTAACACTAAATAAAAAATGAAAACTAGAAGTAAATTCAGTAATTAACTGCTTCTCATTTTGTAATATCCATACCAATTCAATTTTATTGTGCGGACAGCTATTTCAGGGAAAAATATCTTTCGTTATTTTTTTCTGTCGGTGTGTATCATCAAATATCAGCGACCTCTGCAATATATTCACTATGTCTTTTATCACTCATTACAGCATGAATGTTTAAAGAAAAAACTGAAATTTAATTAAAAGTTTTCGAACATCTTTTTAAAGCACAACTATCGACTGTAAAAGAAATATACTGAATATTTAAGAATAGAGGAGTGGAAGGCTTTTTCCGCATGGGCGGTAGATCAAACAAATGAATGTCTGCGTGATTCGAAGCATCCATCTCGGGCAGGCAAAATCGCTGCATTTTCCTTGATTCACATGCATTTTTGCATGTATGCAGCTTGCAAGTTGCATGTCTGAAAATGTATGAGACATGCCTGTGTGTATTAGATTCGCCGTTACGATATGCATATTCCGATGACCTTCTGCACAAGCGCTTCAGTTCATAGAGACCATCTACATCATAGAGGTGATGGCAAAAATGAGATTGGACAGTGGATTTTATGGTCCCTTAAAGTTAACTTCGAATAACTTTAGTAAAGTTAACTGTGAAAAACTCGTAGTCTGCTCAAGGCCTTATTCGTTCGCTTGACCCTTCATTTGCTGCCGATTCATATAGGCTTATTTTAATCAATTCTTTATTCACTTTTGTTTAGAAAAAACGTATGAATTGACTTCACGATAGTATTGAGAAGAAAAATACGTGATGTTTCTGAGACTTTTCCCTGAGCAATTTTATCTTTGTTATATGAACAACTATATTAAGATTTTCTTCTTCAATTCTTCTTCTTCGTCTGTCTAGTAGTGAAATTTGGTACCTTTTTAGGCGAATAAAATGAATCATCGTTCATCATCTTTAAGTGGAATAAGAAAACTATTTGTTGGTGATATTGGAGATAATCGTAAACCGGATTTAACCAAAGTATTCGATCGTTATGGTGAAATAGTTACAATGTACGTCGACGAAAATAAAAAATTCGGTTTTGTTGAATTTAAGTCGCCAGCGGATGCGGAAAGGGCGCTAAACCATACAAATAATAAGATGGTTAATGGTTCAAAATGTGAGTTGGACGTTTTATTTCGCTATTTATCTATTTTGATTTTTTTTGATTTCCAGTGCGCGTTGAGTTTGCTAAAATAGACAAACCAAGAGAAAAACGAGACCATTTACAATTACAGACACCATTACGTCCATTGATACCATCGATGAACGATCATCATCCAGCACATTTCGGATATCCTCCTCAACGATTACAGCGTCGCCCATTAACAGCGAGAGGACGATCATTAACACCACCAAGGTGAGTCTTAGTTTGATTTTATAAATAAAATTGTTCTATATTAAGGTTGTTTGTGTTGTTTTTAGTTTAAAAAACCATCCTGGTTTTCGTCAACGATCAGCACGTGATATGCTAGTAGCACAAGATTTACTTGGATATCCACCATTTCCTTATTTTGATTATTCGGCTGCTGCAGATTTTTATCATAAAACGGCCGAACAATTTTATAACAATCCGTACCTAATGCCCGATCTACGTCGGCCGCTGTCTCCAGCATTCTACGATACTCCAAGTAACGGACCTCCGGGCGGACGTCGCGGCAATATAGGCCCAATGCATCATCACCATATCCCGCAAGGTAATCGACGAAATTTTCAGTTACCACCACATCAAGGTTCTCAACGAAGTCGTGAATATTTTCAAATGTCTTCTAAATATAACAATACACAAATGAACAATAACAACAATTCATCAAGAGGCGATAGAGAAAGACGACAACAAAAAAGAAGTCGAAGTCGTTCACCACGTCATCGGTAAATATAGAAAGGTTATTCTTTCTCGTTGCTGCTTTCGTCTATGCTCAAATGAGTACTCTTGTTTTTCTCTGCACATGCTCACATCTTTGCTTAGTTACATTACTTTTCTCTTGTTTTTCCTATCTAAACAGAAAACAAAACTATTCCTCTCATTATTCTAGCCATACCGGCTAATATTAGATTATCGATGACAATACATATCTGTTCATCACAATTTTTGTCGCAATACCAAATATAATTTGTTCGTTTATTCTTGAATGAACATAATTGATCGAGCGATCGTTGTACCGTCTAATCGATAAATGTTAAACGTCACACAAGATCTGATTCGTACAAACATCCGATTTTCGATCAAAATAAAATGGATGGCATGCTATTTCTTTAATTCACTTTTCTCATCACACTATCGTGTCGTTTCAATGATCTGCTGCTACTAACTCATTAAAAATATATTTTGCACAGTTATCATCGGTTTATAGTGTATCAGGATGCAGTTCAAAAGGAATCAACATCGGAACGAGTATTCCGGCTGTTAAATACCATGTACTTATTTTCAAACGAAATTGCTACTGTAGATCAATAAAGACAGACATTTTAAGAATAGTCAACTCTGTCCTGGTTTGTGAAGTAATCAATATCGAAGAGAGTTTAAATTGGAAACTTCAATGTAAGAATATGGTATTAGGCAGATCTGTTTATTAAATGCTTGGATAATAATGAATAGTCTGGCTTCAGATATCTCCTAGAATTTGTGTCTTTATGTGAAGCAGATGTTAATATCTAGGGAAAACAATGATGATCCAATTCCTTCTTTGATTTCATCATATTCCAAAGCATTGGAAAATCAACAACAAGAAGTCTTGATTCGTTTTCGCTATTGCATTGGAAAAATCATAATATGAGGTGGTCAAAACAAATGAGAGAAACAGTTGTATAGATTACAACGAGAGAATGAAGTTAACCACAAACTTTATAAATAAACTGATGAATGAACAATAACCAGCCGCGTACATTGAATTCTTCTGTCACGAACAACAACTCAATCTTTTAATAGTAGGATAATATGTGTTCCAGCTGCAACAACGCCGTTGTATTGACTGAAGTCGATTGCTACACAATATTCGTAATATGCCTTGACCATTTTGTAGTATATCTTACAAGAAGCATACAGTTCATTTATTCAAATATTTAATTTATCTCTAGAAGAGGAATAATCGCGTTTGCATCGACGATCGATTCATCTTACACGCATAAACGTGTCAAATGTTTTGCTTATCGTTATTAAGTACTTCGGTTTTGTTTATTCGTTAAGAAACGTTTTTATGTCGAAACAGGCTCTTGCTTATATCGTAATATAAACATCTATAAAAATAGTAAATAATAAAACAGTAGCTACTTACTAATTACACAAACTGGTGTTTACGAGTATTAGAAATAAAAATAAAAGTAGGTTCATTAGCTTTTTGTGTTTATGTTATTTATATTTTAATTAAGTGTTAATGTCAAATGGGACTAATATCCCTGATACACTTTGAACTTTTATTTGTTTGTTGAGATCTTATTAAAAGGATAATGAAAACTTGTCTATACTGAAAATCATTGTTGCTCGATTATGCATAACGAAAAACTGATTGGCTAGAGATATAATGTTTATTGCCATATAACTAGATACAAAAAACATATTACATTAGTACAAATTCGCCAGCAGATATTCCTGCAGAGAAAACAATGTGAAAACTTCCAACATTAAGGTGTCACATAAATGATCAGAGTCACCGAAGAAAAAGAAAGTTATTGAAAATATGTGTACGGGAACCAATACGAATAATGAGACATTTTATTCATATAAGTTTTTTGTAGTGCTTTTCTATATAAAGGATATAGATTAATGAGTCTGAATCAAATTCGTAATTTATTTCAATGTGCAATATATGATTTATATATATGATAGGTCTTACTAAGATGATATTTTATCGATACAATACATGTGTAAAATGATATTGTAACATCGAAGTTACTTAAAAAGGAGACCATATTCTAAGAGAAGGAAATATCCTTCGGAAAACGGACATGTCCTTGGAAGTTTTCACAGAAGTGATTGGCTAGAGATGTGATGTTTATTTCCATATAAATAAATACAAAAAAATATTACATTAGTACAAGTTTGTCAGTAGATATTCCTTAGTCTTTAATGACCTATTGGCAATTACTAAATATTGTTAGAATATTCTTACACTGTTTCAATCTCTGTATTATTTATATCCTGTGTATTTCAGTTCGCGAAGTCCATCAAATGCATCATCAAGCAGCTCAACATCTTCAAATTCTTCGAATGATAAACGACGAACCAAACGAACATCCGACAAAACACATGACACTTCAAAAGTAACAAAACGGTATGCTTCAAACAACTAATTTGCCGGATAGTTCATTCTGTCAGATAAAATATTTTTGCTGAGGAACATACAGGCTTTGTACGTTATTTGCATTCTTGAAAGATAAATTTTGCTTTCTATTTTTAATCTAGTATCATTTTCTTGTTTGTTTTTAAGTTCAAAGGATGATACTCGTAAAGACGGAAAAAAACAACAAAAAAAGTAAACAATTCTCAAAACAGTTGATCCTGAACATTCGTTAGATTTTTATTAAATATAAATTTGTTAAACAAATTTTATACTGTGCCAGCTTTAACTATTTCTTTTTGTTACTTTTCGATAACAAATTTTGTTTGTAGAACACAAAGTATTTTTTTAGCATTCTCATTGTATATTTATTGAAAAAATTTCATGAGTTCAGTTTATCTGTATCCATTTTTTCTTCTATCGTTTTTCCGCAGCTCATTTTTATTCATTTTGCTCGCACAACAGTTACTTTCGTATGTTTGTCGTCACATATCTCTACTAATAATGACATTGTTAATTGTTTTTTTGGTTTACACTATCATTCATACTGTCAATACTCTTATTCAATAAGTGGAAAAGGGTTTGGCAACACGTGTTATGCGGTGAAAAACTTGGTTTTCTAATATACTGGCACTCTTTGACTTTTTTATAAAACTAAGTTAAATACTCAAAAAACATTCACGTAAAAACATTTTCTACATAAAAAGCGAGCTTTCGATACTTCACCGCGCTAATATGACTGTTGAATTTAGAAAGATGATTATATATACTAATTGAAACAGGTAAGAAAAGAAAGCAGTGCTGTCTTCTGCTTGTTGATTTTGCTTTTGTCGAAGTAGCTTCTTTGTGATACTACCACTATTATCAGCTCAAGGCACCTATAGAGTGGTAATTAATTCGTGGATGATCCTATATCAAACAAGAAATCAGTGCCCTTTCTGAGAAATCAACTCAAACCAGACTGCGTCGTGAGAGAAACTATATATTTTTCATTCCATAAACCGTTTTAGTTTCCAATGAGGTAACAATACCCTTTAGTTTGAGAAATAAGAATTCCTTTTTTTAAAAAAAACATTAGTTTCATTACGGTGTATCTTGGTTTCTCAAGATAATGTGATACAAATGAGACATCAAGTTTGAATTTTTTTTGTAAAAATAGTTTATCATATTAAAGATTCTGAAAATTTCATTCAAAGAGATATGTTTTTCGTTTTTGGAGCGTACCATTACATACAACCACAAACGAAGTTGTCTCTTCTTGTTCTTTTCTGCGTATCTGATATAAATAGATAAAGAAAAACAGAAATAGTCAATATCAGATATATTTAAAGATATGATGGTTGAATAATGGGACTATATACAGATACTTACATGAGCAGATTAGTAGTCAGTTGAAATCAGTCTTATCATCGAACCACAAAACAGCGACCGTCTTGCTCCTTGAATTGAAGAGCCTTTTTTGAATAGGAAACTTGGAAAGTTGTTCTATTACTACATATTTGAACGAGACGATGTCATTTTTTTTTTGTTTAATTCAATCAATCTTTTTATTTTAAACATTCTTACGTTTCGATCTGTATTCAGTCATGTTCAGAGAATATACAACATTGAAACTACAAAATTGGAAAGACAAAATAAATGTAAGTAAAAGACATGTGTGACAGAAACAGGCATTTACAAAATGAAAAGAGAAATATATAAACATTATTTCCTTTTCTTTCGGTCCAGGCATTTGGGATGTACAATTTTTGCATTTGGAGTGTACAAAATTGGAATGTACTATTTTTGGTAATCCGTCCTATTAATAGTACAGATCTAACTGTTCCATTTAAACTAGGGCATCTGAGGCGATAGATAATCATTCAGGAAGCAATAACAGATATTCGATAGGATCACAATCAATAACTAACCAGTTATCCTAATCGATCGAACGTATAGTATCTAAATGATGACGATTTAACGCCGATTCTAACGATACATCTCAGTCAACAAATAACTATGATGAATAAAAAAGATAGATTTTGATCCATCGCCAAGAAAAACTAGAGTATCGCAGATATGTCTTTTACTTACGTTTAAGTTGTCTTTCCAATTTTGTAGTTGCAATGTTGTATATTCTCTGAACATGACTGAATACAAATCGAAACGTAAGAATGTTTAAAATAAAAAGATTGATTGAATTAAACAAAAATAAAAATTTAATGGCTGCTGTTAATCAAAAACTTGTACTGCTCAATCTTTTGGCTCTTAATCGTTTTAATTTAAAATCTAAACACTTACAGATGTAAGATCAAGACGGATAAACTTTATTTACTACAATTTCCTATTCAATATTGGTCTTATCAAAAATGAGAACCGGAAGCAGTATACACTGATAAAACTGAGTAATAATGAAATTGAACGTTGTAATTAAATCTGCAGACAGACGCTGAGTTGATAATAGTGTGTGCAAAGATTAGTGTTTCAAATCATTAACTCATCCTGGTCATCAATGATCAAGGTACAGTGACATCGTCTCGTTCAAATATGTAGTAATACAACTACGTTCCAAAAGATGTGGTTGCTTAGCGTTAGGATCAAAAAGATGAATGATAAAACTGATATTATTCAAATCGTTTTGTTTGATTAATAAACAGATTAACATCATAACAGTAAGATACAGTTATCCTGTCACATGTGTGAAAATTCAAAGTAAGATCCGATGGGCTGACGTCAATTCACCCCACGAGTAGATAAAATAAGAGGCTGATGGGTCGGTCTGTCACTAGCGAGAGAAAACATTGATGTTACATTATAGAATAACAACAACAGAAAGTTTTCAGCTATAACCTCAGTGGTTTAGAATCATCAAAAGTTCAGAGAGATTCACAATAAATTAACGTCATCATCAGTTTAGATGTTGTCACAAAGATATAAGACATGACTGGCTTATGTTAGACCTGAACTTTTTTGCTGATTTTTTGAACAAGTACATAATGAAAGGAGCTATTGTTTTATACCTATCGTTCTTTACAACTAATTGATACTTTGCCTGACATTTTAATAATTGAATGATTAGTCAATAGAAATTTTGATACAAGCAAAAAAACAGAGTATACATGCAAAAAAGTAACATTTTTCCATGCTGCAATCTGTAAGATCAAACAAACAGAAATAATTTTTAAATTCATCAAACTGAATATCAACACAATGAAGAGAAGAGAAACATGTCATATGAAAGGTCAAAAAAACAGATAGGACAGTCAAATCAAGTTCTACATCATACAGATAATTATATACACAAAAAAAAGCATTCACTGGGAAACTAAGGAGAGAGAGAGAGACTGTGTGTGTGTATGTGTGTATGTATGTGTGTGTGTGTGTGTGTATGTGTACGATCAACAATATTACGAGATTCAAATAGATATTTATAAAATTGGACACGAATACGTTCAATAAGTACACATAAGAAAAAAACCATTATATTAAAATCGACAGATAATCAAACACAATAGAAAACAAAACAAATTATGAGAAAAACAAAAGCAGTTACGCTTCAGGTTTGACATCGTTGATTGTTCCTATTTCAAGCATTGCTTTTTGAACTTTTCGTCGTAATTCAAGAACTTTATTTTCTTGTGCATGAATATGATCATCACTAATTGTTATTTGCTAAAAGTAGAAATATATGCATTATTACTTAATAAAAGCACAGACGATGAAAACAATGTAAACAAATAATACTTCAATTAATGGTTGATCTCGATTAATAAACACGGTTGGGTTTTTTGTACACTGTTTACTTTGTCCATATAATGCACGAGAATTACAATATAAATGTAATGATGTTGCTAAACTTATCACAACTGTTTCAGGTGACATATCTAATCCAATACCTAGACAGAGAAAAAGAAGCACAACAGTGTAGTTGAAAAGAAAGAAATGCAAAAAAATAACAGAATATTACCTTTAATTTGTTCTGGCAAACGAAAATCGCAAAGCGGTTCTCCGTCAATGTCACTCGGACGAATATTTTGAAAACGTTTTTCCCAAAATAACTAGAAAAACAAGTTTTGCTATAATTTATATAAAAATTCTATTTGGGAATGACTACCTGTCGTGGTTTTGTTTTTTCACTTGTCTTACTTCCTCCACTTTGCTGATGATCGGATCTGGCTACTTGAGGTTTTACTTCATCTCGCTGAAGTGGATAATATGTAACAGGCTGTTTAAATATTGGCAATGTTTGTCTCAATGGACAACGAAGTGACGGATCAATTCTGGACGCTACAACAACGACAATAAAAAAATCAAAACAAGAAACATAAGAGATGATAACACATACTTCTACTCATATTTTCTTGTAGAGGATGTAATGAACTTCGTACATTTCCATTTAATTGATTATGATTATTATTGTTGATCATATTTAAATTACTATGACTAACTTTCATTTTTTTATGTTGCTGTTGTTGTTGTTGTTGTGGTGGTGGCTGATGATGCGAATGAGGTTTTGTTATTTTCAAACATCTGTTTTGGCTTGGCATCATAACAGATGGTGACGAATTTGTTGACAATTGATTCGCAGTGATTGATTCATCACGAGCACGAAGATTTTTTGTCATTGTATCGTGCATATAAACGAAATTGCAAGACTAATTTTTCTACGATAGAATGATAAAATTGACAACAATAGTGTCTTACTGTAGGTGTTAATGTATTCAGCGAGACATCTATCGAAAAACAACTTTTAAATCCTCATATAGCTGTCAAAAAAACTATTTTTTCTTTTAGATTTCTTTTTACCTCTGTCAATAACAGCAACGAGATTTCATACCATTTAGTAAAGAAATAACAAAGTTTAGTCTTTTTTACAACTTTTTTTTGTAAATAAAAAAGAAACTCGGAAATAATGAATTAAATTAATGTAATAAAAAACAGCAGACAAATTGTAACCAAAGAAAAAGCATTATTTTAAATAAAATAACAACGGTACAAAAAGAACACCACTTTTCTTGTTTACAATTTTTATTACATTTCAAAAGCCAATCTCAACATAAAATCAGCAAAAAAAAACAATTGGACGAGCACATTTTAGTACGTGTTAACACAAAAATAGCATTCTATTTACATTAAATTCACAAAATAAACGTATAAAAAAAACAGCGAAGAAGACCGTTAGTAATAGCAAATAACAGAAAATATTTGTATTATTTAGCAAAATGATACATAAAAAAATAGTAAGGAGCAAAACACAAAGTGACTAGAAAAGGAGTTATTTTTCAACAGTGTCTCAAAAACGAGAACTATACTATGCAAAGATTGAAAAGCCATATGAGTCAAAAATATAATCATAAAAAGTCAGAATGCTCTAACATCTCACATTATCCTTAACATTTACACTTTAGAATAGTATGATAGTTGGTGATTAGTTATCTCAGTGAAGAATGTACATTTATACTATATACACTATATATACTGTACAGCGTATACACTGTTAACTATTACATAACTATCAGTTGTCTCATAGAAGAAATTCGCTAAGTATTGTAAAATATGTTCGTCTTCTAAAAATAATCACACATAAATTAAAGCATATATTGAAAATATAGCTGCAGATCGTTCAACGTTCATTTTCCTAATCTGTACGATTAGAACTTTCTGAAAACAAGTGGCTGACTTTGCCGAGAGAGTACAGAAGGGAGGAAAGGAAAGAAAAGAAAAGGAAATAAAAAAGAAAGAGGAGCTTTCCTAAGGAAACACAAGAAGTTTCATATCGTCGTCGCTAAGTAGACTTGATCACGGATCAAGCTAAAGACGGTGGAATCTGTTCTATAAGATCATCAAGCAGGGTAACAATATCAATAATTGTGTCTATCGGCATACCAGTTGTGTCATTCAATAAAGACGTTTCTTTTCTCTGTTTCTTCCTATTACACCGTTTGGATATTGTGGAAGAAATTTTTTTTTTTTTATTATTTTTAGATTTTGGGGTGTTTTGCGGTTTGTGTTCAGCTATTTGAACTATTTGTTCATTCTCATCACAATCACTGGATGATAGCGACGTTATTCGTCGTTTTCCATTGATCAACTGTACAGCAGGTTCATTTCTATGCGCAGTTTCATGTGTGTTTTTTGTTGTTGTAACTGGACGTTTTTTTCTTGATCGTATTGGTTTATATACTTCATTGACTGGCTGTTGAGTATGCACTAATGGTTTAATTGTTAACGTTTCATCTTGATGAGGTTGTTCCATTATTTGTTCGATTGTCAAATTATCTTCCGCTAACCATGTTTTATTATGACAACGACAATATATTTTTTCGACTATTCCATCTAAACGTGTCAATTTCTCTTCAAACTAAAATATTAAAAAAATGGAAAGATACTCAACTCTTTAAGACTCATATTACATTTGTTCGAGATCTAATTGCTCATAAAACGTTACCTGTTTTGGCGTTAGCTTGTTTGAATTAGATAATACTTTCTTTTGTTTATCTTGATGAAACTCTTTTTGATGGGGCTAAAACAGACAAAAATCATGTATCGTTATTTTCTCACTATGTTAACTACACATACCAGATAATCTCTTTTAATTGTTAATTTTTCGATGTACTGATCAAAACAATATGATTTTGTATTTATACTCATCTGTCGTGCTTTAGGTAGACGATGAAATGTTCGTGCTAATTTATCAACACGATATTCACATATATAAATATCGTTTATGTTCAAATAACAATCACATATAGGTTTTCCTTTACAATATGTTGCTTGATCAACAACAAAACATTGTCTTACAATAATATTTAGTGGAAATGAATCATTTGCTGGCGAACGAAATACTTCATTGTGAAAAAATTTTCGATTTGGTTCATGAAATGTTTCATATGGATGAATATAGTAGAAACCACACGCATATTTTTCATTTGACTTAGATACATATAAACGTTCGACATAGATAATATCATATATCGGATGCTTGTGTTCATCAGATTTATTTTCACCACTTCCACGTTTTTGTTTCACAACATAGTAACATTCATTTGTACGAACAATAAATCCATCATCTCTCGTTAAACTTGTGTAACATTCAACATCTGCTAGTTCATCACTTGTTTTTTCTTGAAGAGGAATATTAACTTGGGTTAATTGACATTTTGAAATATCATATTCACATGTTGGATTACATTCAAAACAAAAATAGGGTGAAGATGGATTAACAACATCAACACTGACACATGATGCATGTTGCCATAACTGAAAGAGAATAGCATAATTTATTACTCATTTATAAAAGAATATTATTGAAGGAGTGGAACCAAATGAGAATAGAAGTCAAAAGAAATGAAACAATATCCGTATTCATACCTGACAAGCATAACATTGGATAAACAATCCTTCATCATGGACTGTTCCACATTGACAATGTATAATGTATTCATCATCATCGTTCAGGTTTCGTTTTATTTTCTGAAGTTGTGATTGAAACGAGGATAAAGACGACGGTGTGATTGTTGTTTGTTTATTTGGACGAGATTTTTGATGACTTGAAGTGCTATTGTGATTAAATGTCTTAAACACTACTGGTGAATGTTCATTGTCCGTTGATAATGTTTCGGCTTGCAATTCAATATCGTAGATCAGATGATAAAGATTATTTCTAATTTGTCCATACATAATTTCTGATTTGTGAAAACGAGCAAGAAAGTCTTCAAAGGTGCTAACATTAGCAAACGATGTGGTAAATGAAGAAAAACTGTATTGTTGATAAGACTGATTGAGACTCTTGAATAAATCAGTTACTGGTTTGTATAATGGAAGAAGAATACGGTTATAATAATCTTGTAGTTCAACCACAGCGAAACCGACATCTGAATCAGCACCGCAATACGTCTACAAAGAACAACACAAGTGAGTACTATCATCAGACTACTAAAGATCCCAAAAGTGCTGGTTAGTAGTATATATAGATTTTCTAATTTGATTACAGGTAAGTATACACTTTTCGGTAAAGGTTTGCAAAACGGAAGAAACAACTGCTTTTTCTTTTCAACAAGTTTAATCATTTGTCAAGGCTGCTGCTCATCAGCAAAGTTTGACTTAAGAATGTAGATGTAAAATTTTAATGAATGTAGATTTACCACAGCATTATTGAATAACAGTAATAAATCACTTTCAAATTGTTTAAAGCAAAGATATTCCCCATTATCTAATGTCGTTTTAATTATGGTTAAATCCATAGGTTTCTTGATTATTTCATAATACATTGGGTAAAGCTTTTTTGACGGACATTTCTTCAACGCAATTGCTGGAAAAATATCATCTTTAGCACATTTATAACACATCAATAATCGTAGTATATCGTTTAATATGTGTGTTAATTGAGCTAGTTGAGCATAAAAACAGTGATCATCAATCAAGGCCTCATATCCCCGTCCACTTTTAATGAAATGCGTTCTGCGAATAAAATTGTAAAATAAATGGAACATATCTAAAGAGAAGAGAAACATGTATACAATATCTTTAACCTTTTTTTATCAGAACAAGTGAAAAGCTGTGCAAAGACACTAATCGAATATTCGATAAAAAGTAGTTCATATCTAGTATCTTTATTCTGAAGCAGTTCTTTTCTTTTGCTGAAAAAATACCTTTGTGTTTAATTGTTGATATTAATTTATCACTTTTCTTTCTCAATGATGATAATATAGACGAGGGAGCAGCAGTAGCACCATTTTGAATTACAACGGTTTTTTGTTGATGATAATAATTTTGATAACAAAAGCAATAAGACTGAAATAGTTGTTGTTCGTTTGTTATTATCATCGATGATTCTGACTTTACTTGTTGTTGTAGTTTCAGTTGTTTCTTTTGTTTTATTTGATTTACTTTTACTAAATTTCTCATTAGAAATACGGAAAAATGCTTAATCAATCGTTTATCATGGCGTGTTAATTTTTGCGTTATAGCTGCCATTGTTCTATCTTGAGTGGATGTTGACGAAGATGATGAAGTTGATATTGAATGTAATAACGATGGTTTTGCACCAATAATTTTTCGACATTTTTCATTTGCACAATAACATTTCTGTTGATTGTCTTCATTAAAACATTGAAAATTATAATCGTACGTTAATTCCTCGTTTTTTTTAATATTTCTCAAAGTAAACATACACATTCGTTGTAACCCATCCACTGTCCATTTTTGAAATTCACACTAAAAAGTGGAAAAAAAGAAAAACAATAAGTTGTCAATCATCATTGACATCCACTTACATTTGGTTGACAACTATGATTAGCAAATCGTGCTATATTTCCCATTCTGTAAGCATCAATAACTAAATTTTGTGATAATTTCATTGTGTAATGATGTTGATCATTTAAATATTTAGAATTCATTCGATTGAGAAATTCATCATTGGTGATTATTTCACCAACATATTCGCAGAGAAATGCTCCTTTTGGTAAATCCATTGCTGATCTCAAACCAAGACCATATTTTTTCGTATCATATACTTCCACGTTTTTAGACCATTCATATTTACGTATTTTTTGATTTGTACATGCTGGACCACATGGACAAGATTGTGACGTACATTCGGTAAATATCATACGATTTAAACAATGTTCGTCGGCACAATTTGATGGTGATTTACATTCACAAATTGGAGATGTTTCACTTGTATAATTTGTCAAAAGACTTTGACGAATTGTCGGATCACTGTATAAGTTTTTTAAAATCTTTTTATAATTTGACGTTTTTTTCACTGATGGTACCTTTTTCTTTTCAACAATTTCAGTGGATGGTTTTGATACCTTTTGAGTCTCTTGATTATTCTTATTCTGACGTTTCCATGTCCAATATACATCATACGGTAAATGATAATCAAGATATTGTATTTTTTCGCCTCGAACAATTAAATTATACAGAGATGGTAAGCAGGATGAAGAATCAGGAATACGTTTACTTTTTGATGATGGTGTATGAAACATGCTAGGTAAAAAACAAAATAAAATGTAAATTACATAGAATAGCTCTTTTGTTAACAAAGTAGATATATTAATCTTAAAATGTTCTTAATTAAGATTTTCAATACATACCTTTTAGTCTCCTTATTCTGATCTGATTTTTTATAATAGTTAGATAACATTCCATTTTTAATGTAACGTTTTTTTGGAAGTTCATCTAGTAATATCTCATCCACACTGTAAAAAGAAAGAAATATCAAATAATTATATCTTAAGATATAAACCTTATTTACCTTTCGTCGTTGTTCGTTTTTGGAGTTGTCTCCATTTTTGTTGGTGATTGTGGTTCTATGGATGATGACAGTCTTCTTTTTCTACTAGTCGATTGTACGGTGGTTACGGAACTATTTGTACTTGTTACCGATATACGACGATTTCTTGTTTGTACAGATGTGGGTGCTAATAAAACAATTGATTCTTTGATGATAAATGGTGTTGACTCTTCAATTTCGATACTCATACGACGCTCATTTACTGTTTTATTTTCATCGTTTTCGATTTCGTTTTTTTGTAGAAGACGTTTTTTCAACGGCAATAATGAAGCTTCATTGCAATGAGGACTAACGGTACTGTCAGTAATATCTTTTTGTACCGCAGTTGTTGACATGCAAGTCAATGATGGTTTTCGTTGATGATTCTCGTGTTTTTTCAGACAACGTTCAATTGACGATGATCTTGACGTTCGTTGATGTTTCGACTTTTCTGTTCCCTTCTTTGATCGTTGTTGTTTCGTTGACAGGGATGGGGTACTGGAAAAGAAATCATCGTACGAGATCTCTTTTATTGATGGTGATAGAGGCCTATCTGCTGTAGCTGTTGTTTCTATGACTTTCTGTTGCTTTTTTGGTCGTCTTTGGCAAGGTAGAGGTGTGACTGCTATCTGCTCTTTTTGTTCTTCCTCAACCACGAGAGAAGTGTCTGTTTGAATGGCAACCGATTGCTCGGAAGTATTTTGAATCAGATGAGGTGACGAAAATTTTGGTTTCATACCGAATTGTTCATATTTAGTAATTGCTGTATAGAGTTTTCTACCATATGTTTGAAAATAAAAATCTTTCATCCGTTGTATTAATAAATGCTGTTGAGATTCTGACGTGCCTTGATTTAAACTTGTTTCTTTTCCAACAGTCGATGGAGATGTTTTCAGCTTTTTATTAGGTTTAATAGCAAACGTTTTTAATCGTTGTGATTGAAGGATCTAAATTTTGGTACAAATTAAAAATACGTATAACTTAGACAGGAAATTCGAAAATGAAAAAACAGTTCGAAAGAAAATCGCATTCAAAACTATCGGTTTTGAAGGGCGAAAAACTAAGCTAATCCCCATTAACTAATATTACACTTTCTTTGGAGGAAAAACAGAAGTCTAAACACGACAATCGAACAATCTTAGAATTTCTCTCCCAAACAAAAGACATTGAAAATTCAATTTCTCGCTGATCTTCCACTCACCTGAAACAAATTTTTGGAGATAGGTGAACTTGAACTGGATGATTTTGTAGTTCTTTTTTTTGTATTTAAATTATTTGGCCATGATGCCGTGAAAGATGAGAGAGGCGTTTCTGTTGTTGTTATAATTTCAATATCTTGAATATCACTCCATAAAATTGTTTTTAAATCCATATCGTTTTTAAGTACATTACGGAATAATTTTGATTTATTCATCTTTTGAAAAACATTCTGATTCACTGCTTTTCCTCGCACAATGCCAGTTAAACCTTTTGTTCTTGATTTGAATATTGGTTGCTTCTCTCTCAAAAATTTGACAGAATATTTGGCTTCATCATCAATGTGTAAAATTCTGACGTGATCGATTAATGTTTCAATATCATTGTAAGATAAAAAACGTGTTACAATCTCTTGTTGATCAGAGTCGCAGTCTCGATGGGTTTTCCCGTTTATATGTCCAGGTAATGAGTTCAAGTCGGTAGCTGCTGGTAGAACTTTTTCATCCATACGTGGATACTCAACCGATACTTGTGGTGTACTATTTCCTTTTCTTGTTTGTTGTGGATCTGGCTCTGTTTTACGGTTTCGTATATCAATGAGAAGTTCATCGTCCGAATCTTCTTGTTTTTCTTCTTGTTTTTTCTTGGATACAAGTAAGGATGGGTTCACTTTTGATGACTTTTTTATTATAATTTTCTTCTTCTTTTTGTATGTTTTCTCTTGAATAACATTGCCGATCTTATCTAAATAATAACAGAATAACAATTTTATTAGATACATGAAGAAAAGTGCAAACTTTATAGAACTTTATTTACGACAAAAAAAGCTGTTATTTACATATTTTTTAAGAAAATCAGTATCATTGTCGAGTTAGTAAGTGACCAGTGGTATAATGTTTTAGCATGTACCTGTTTTAGCTTGCGACAATTCAGACTGAACATTATTTGATTTCTTGTTGCTTTCATTTTCTGCTGCATTTTGTTTCTCTGTTGATTTTTGTACTAATTCAATTACATTTGGAGAAATAAGTGTTGGAGCAGCTGAAGACAGCGGTGTATTTAATTTAGAATCAGTGCTACTGTTAGACGGCAATAATATCTCCTGTTGTTCGGCTTCATTGCTTATCGATTCGGATTTTTGACAAATTGTTGCTTCTTGCTCAACTGGCAAAAGAGGATTAGTAATGTTGTTGTTTACCAATGGTTGCTGCTGTTGTTCGTCATCATCTTCGGTCCATATGTTTGTATTTTTATAATTTTCTGCTACTTCTTTCAATGAGTGTTCTTCATCGCCTAGACGAACGGGCTGTACATGCGATTTTGTTGACATATTTGATAATGGTGACAATAATAAATCCAAATTATACATTTGGCTGTTGTTCTGCGTCGATGCGGCACATGGGGAGGATGAATTTTCACTAAAATGGTTGTGCTTGGGTGTATTTGTATTCGTTGCAACTGCCAAGGGAGAATCTGATGTGTGATTACTATTATTACTATTTCCAAATGATTTAATGCGATTTTGAAATGGATTTGCCGCAAGAGTCGGTCGAGTATTTGTTTTTCGAACAGTTTCCATCAAACGAAACCAACCAGCCATTTGAGGTACATTGGAGGGTGACCTCGTGTTTGGCTAAAGTGAACAAAACAACATAGACATACTTAGTTGTGAATAAAAAAAGGAAAAGAGCTAGAAACATCATCCTCAGGCTTATTCTGATATTTCCTAGCCTACTACGATGTAATTTGACGCTCACATAATTTCCAGTTAGATCGCGCTGTCTGTCCTTTAAAAATTTTTCACTTTATACAGTATGCTTTTTCAGAAGTGTAGAAAACCGTTCTGAATTTTATCAACCATAGGATGATTCTCTCATTTATCAACACATACTGCTTGTTGATTTTCTGTCATGGATGTTGCATTTTTGTCCATATTATTAAGTGATGATATTTTAACATCGTTAGCACTGGCATAATTTGACGATAAGGATGATTCTTCATGTAAACCATCGTTTGCACTACCCAATTTAATTTTCAACATAATTTTTTTCTGATTTTCATCCATTTTGAATAAATATTGGAAAGAATAAACGTCACTCTGAAGATTACATCTAGAAAACAATGACTCCTCCTAAGATCTAGGTATACATAAAAGAGTGTAACAAGAGAAATAAAATAAACAAATGAGAAAAAAGAAACCAAGAATGAGAAAAGAAGAAGTAAACAATAACTACAAACATCGATTAAAGTAAACAATAGAAGTAACAAAAAAAGCAAGCAAAGTAAAAAATAACAATCAACTGTTGAATAATGTTCGTTTAAAGGAGAAAAGTTAAGAGGAAAGAACTGACCGTAGAAGATTATTCTAGTCAGTTACTGTAGACTAAAGAATAGATTTTATAGTTTTAGAAAAAAAACTTTGTGTAACAGGTGGAATACAAACATATTTGGTGTATTGATGACGAGGAAAAGAAAAATCAGGTGGCTGTATTGTATAAAAAAATGTGAAGAGGACTTAAATGATGATAGATTTTATAGAAATATTTCTGACGTTTAGAGATATTTGGTAGAGAAAGTTGAAGAGCTAAATCAGAATCATGAACACAAGAATTAAAATTTTGAAGAATAATGAGAGCAGCAAAATGACTCATGGAATCAAAAATAGAAATAGAAAAGAAACTATCATGTAGAGCACAACAATAATCATGTTTAGAAAGAACACAAGACAAATAGATTCGACGTCGTACCTCACATGGAGCCAGATCAAAGATACGTACCAAAGCCCCATGCTTACGGCTACAGCTCAGAACAATATTATCAGCATGGAAAGTCCATCTGAGATCGTGCGAAAAAAGAACACCGGGGCAACAAACAGAAGAAACAACAATAAGAGAAGAGTTATTTAAGTAGGGGTGATTGAAAGCAAAAGGAAAAAGATTGAATGAGGAAGCCAGCAACATTTTAAAACATCCAAAGACTTTAACATGGGAGAAGACTAGATAGAAACGGAATTGATACAGTTTTGAACGTGAGAAAAATCCTATAGAAGAAAGAGGAACAATAGGAAAAACATCATCAGCAAAAAGTCAAATATCGTAGTTAGGAGAAAGAGAAAGTTGAAGATCATCGTACAACATTTTTATGAATAGAAACAATGAGAACAAGGTATGTGCGTATCCTACAAGCTCACGAAAAATAAATGTTTATCGTAGAAAATCGGAAGTCAACGTAAAATAGTTGGGTCTAATAAACATAGGAAAATGTAATGAAGTGGATCTTTATAGGATGAGTTTATTTGTCGTATGTGATAAACTCACTCAAAAAGAAAGGTATCATAGAAAGTTATATCATTGGGCATTCCCGTTTTTATGTAATCGCAGCATTTAACAAGATTTCTCTACAGACAGATGTTTCTTTCATATCTTAACAAGCAAAGATCTGCTGTTCAAATAGTGTTCGGAAAGACTCAGCAGATAAGTCAGAGAGTGCTACAGGATGTATTTCCAGAATGAAGCATTATGAGACTAACTCTGTTTAGTTCTAAACAACACCAGAAAAATGCTCCTAATTAGCAAAACTCAATGCATTGTGCATAATCCAATGGTCATGGTTGGTCAGACAAATGCTAGCAACTTTCATTTACAACGAACCGAGGCCGTACAAAAAGACGTTCACTATCTGAATGATATTTTTTTTATGGCTTGTTTTTCAAAAACATCACATAATGCTTGTATAATAAAGTTATTTTTTCAATTGCTGCAAGTTTTACTCTTGGATAGATGGCAATGATCTCTGGCAGTATGTCGCCACGTGTCATTGTCAGTTTTATTAGATATATTCTGAAAGCACGCGTGAAGAGAAATACAAAACAAATTCGCTATCTGTTGAATGCCTCTAAAATTAAAAAATGCGAATATTAAAAAATCCGCAAGAAAAATCTGTAGACTACTCTAGATTTAACCGGATAAAACTTATGAACTACTTACTTCCAGCAGAACAAAAATATTAACTAGTAAAACTCTCGCCTTGTTATCAAACGATAACTATGCGGATTTCTTCACCAATCAAAATACATTTCATTTTCTTGCTGTTGGTTGTTTCCAAAATACTAAAAGTGATTAAGTATAAAGCGATAAGTATGTTTAAAACAAATGCTAAATGTAATATCACAAGATAAACTATCAGACTGCGTCAGAAGTTAAGATTTAGGAGTAGTTTATTCAGAATTGTATCTGTTATTATGAGGAGTTCGTTTAATATTGAAACGTGAACATTGTGTTGAACTGCGGATGGAAAAAGCCTGTTGGTCCCGACCGAACTTACAAGCTTTTGACGAAACCCGATTATCAGGTTTACATTTTTCAGAAATGGATTTAGTCAGTAGATCAGCTATAGGAAAACACTTGTCCACTAAGGATGTGTAGGAATATCCAGTGCATGCAATTAAAGGCATTTTCTTGTGAAAATAAACGCATTGCAAATATGAACAATTATACTGGCTGTAATGGATATGATGGATAGATAAAGGTGCAATTTCAATGATACCGATGTATGAGTTTCAGCTGAATTTCATATATATGTCGCATTCGACATGATCCATATGGAAATAAAAAAAGGAAGAGTTTTAACAGCTAACACGGATTCCCTGGTGTGAAAGAACGGCGTGGGAATTGTATTTGCTGGAAAATTTTAGAAATGATAACTACTCATCCAACTGTTGCAGTTATTTTTGAACGGACGGGCATTGCATTGAAATGTCATTGATCTAGGTCGCAGACCAATTAAAAATTCTACAATTTATACCTGTGTAACTCAAAATTTTAATCGTCTACTGAGACATATGTGTATGAACATTCTATTTTTATTTTAATATCTAAAGATACGTTTTTTGTTAGCTTTATGACATAGTTTTGTTGTAAGTGTTTATTATAATACATTAATCAAGTTATTTCAGAACTATAAACTATTTTCTTAAACAATAGACTAGTCGAACAGCGAGAAAAGGTGCATTAAATTGTACTATAGGTCGTGGACTGAGATAATAAGTACAAGCACATTGTCCACGTCTTATACGTAACTATCATTACTAGGGTTCGAACATCTTCGAAATTCTGTGTGTATATTTTTTAAACTATATTTACATTTTGCAATTGTTTATGTACGTATAATGAGTTATAGAAAACCTTATCTCAGTGGCGGATGTAGAAAATTTTTTTGGTGGTGGCGAATATGTACAAAACAATAGATATGGTGTACCTCGCGTTTATCTATTTTTTCAACTAGGAAGTAATGAAAAATCAAAAATTTCGACACCGGCGGCCGCCAGAATCGCCATTCCCCTAAACCCGCCACTACATTATCTTTAATCGAAAATTTACGTTACATTGGATTGCTCAGGTAATTAATAATTATAACTTCTATTATTATTATCATTCTAATTGTACCTTTATGTTTTATTGTTCTCCACCAAATAAAACAAGTGAAAAATGTTTTTCATTTGTCTTCACTTTTGGATCTTCAAAAAATAAAAAATTTTATATAAACTTGGCGTTCTCTTTTACTTAATAAAAAAATAATTACAATTTTTATTAAAAAAAATTATTATCTATATACACCTGCATTTTGTCACTCTCATATCATCGTATCGTTTCAGAATTAAATTAGGCCCATCATAATGTAACAAAACTGTTGATGAATATTCAGCGGGTACACAACAGGGCTGTGGTATCCGGGAATCAAGACGATTCATTTTATTTTGTATAATAAAATGTGAATTCATATTCTGTGCCGTTGGACAATTTCCAGCACAATAATTGGCTTCATACGATTGTGGTTCTAAAATAAAATCATTCCATTCTAAATCTTCAAATTTCACTTGTAGCCTTCTTGGTTGACAATAATTTTGATCGTTTTCGATCGTTTTTATATCATTATTATCTTGACTACGACGTTTTCTGATATTTTCATGTGAAAACAGATTATTTCTCGTTGTGGCGATGGAGGTATTATTTGTTGAAACGTTAAAATACAAAATAGTAAAACCTTGATTGTTAGTTAACGATAAATATTTGTTTATTTCTAATTTATGACCAAATGAATTTGTAATTGTAACGAGTAATGGTGTATTGAATTGTTGGGAATGAGATTTCATTAGAGATATTTGGCGTGTAAGATTTAATCTTAGCCATTGATGACGAGTTTTTATCGGTATTTTTTGTCGATCAATTAACTCTATACGAGGTTGACTATATTTACATGTTGAACTATTGACAATTCGATAAAGATTGACGTAGACACGTTGTGTAATACGTTTTGCGGTAAATAAAACAAAATCAGCATGTATCACATTTGCTAGAGAATGATTTGATTTATCAAGATCAAAATGATAATAGGCATGTTTATTCATTGGATAATTTGATTTTGTTGGTAGACAAAATTTAGAACGTTCACTATCATGATCAGATATACGATTAACACTATTTGGCATACTTAAAATAAAATCAATATTTTTTGATAATAAATCAGAGCCAATTTGATATAAGTGATGATAAACACTACTACGACGTTTTCGAGTATTAGATGTTACTTGTTCATAAATACTACGCATAAATTGTAACATTGAATGATCAAAATTACTAAATCGTTTTGCGTCAATGGATTCGCCAAGAAATAGACTAATTTCACGTTCATGATTTTTTTGTTCGATGGATGGTATCGATGAGGTGATTGTTGTTGAATTGATAAAATCTAAAGCTAAAATTTAGAGTATTATGTTACATCATGTCAATATTTATCTGCTGTTGTTACCTTTGATTATTTTTGAATGTAAAGTAGTGGTATTGTTGAGATATATGTGCGTTACATTCTTGATTGTTTCAGTCTGATTAATTGTAATGATATAGGCTGTTGCAAATGCAACGATAATTATAATTGATAAAATAAAAAGAGTAATTAAAAATGTGGTTAAATATGACCCAGTTTTATTTGATTTTTTATCAACAAAAACTATAAGTTGAGAACTCATGAATTATCTATGCTTTTTAAAGAGATCAGTAAATAATAATTTGTATTTAATGTCAAATCAAAAGAATAATAAATATAAAACTCAAATTTTGACGTACATGCTTCTTTTCTTTTCTGCCAACGATAGAATAACCAATAACAAATATTACGTCGATGACATATATTATTGAGCTGAACGATAAAACAAATGTATGATCCAATGAAATCATAGATGACATTGATTTTATTCTTCGATATGTTTCGTTAACTTTCGACTTGTGTCACATTGGTTCTATATACATACAGATCTCTCTCTATAGACAGATTTGTTTGTATTTTTTCAATTTTTCTAAAAACTGAAGGTTTTCGAATCGAACATCTTTTGATTGAAGATAAAGACTTTCGTAATGGAAACGCGTTTATTAGCATTCTTATACTCGCTAATCTCTAACAAAGCAATTTTTTAACAAACAAAATATCAGTAATTTTAAAATACTTATTAAAGAGAAACTGACAATGAACAACAGTTGATCTGTAAACTATAAAAAAAGATGTGTCCTCCGATGATATAAAAATGCTGCGTGGATTGATTTAGAATACAAACTGCGTCGTAAACGACGGCACTTGAACATTTTTCATCGGACAAAATGCGTCCATTTCATGTATTATTTTTTGTGTCATCGGCGGACACATCTTTTCTTCACAGTAGCAGTGTATACAAACAGTTAAGTACAGTGGCGATGTGACAAACTTAAAGCAGGAGAGGTATCTTAGAAAACTGGAGAAAGCCTAAAATAATTTGTTGAATATGCGTCGGGTATAGGTCTGAAAATCTCACCGGTGCACATCTCTATTAGAAACGCAGAACAAAACAGAAAGTCGTTTTTATACGATCAACATAGACAGTACGCGCACAGTGACTTTTCTCCAAATTTTGGACAAAACATGGTGAGGCGAGAGAAATGTGAAACAAAAACTACAAAAATTCTCGGCAAAATTGAAGAAAATTTACGTCAGAATTTTCAAAAGTAGGGGTAGCATATCTCTCCTTTGTCGCGCCGCTACTGATCAGGTAACGCATCTCTTTTGGGAAACACCTCTCGCTCACTACCCAGCAGTGCTGTATTGAAACGAGTTACGCCGACGACGATCTATCTGCAGTCCACATGGAAACGCAAGGCCTAGAAAAATGTTCTTCGACTTTAACACGCTCATATGAGCTGTATCGGCTGTGTTAGAATACGGATGTGGAGTTGCCAGGCTCGTCGAGAATGAGATGGAAGAGATATCCAACTGCCTATAGAAAATTTTCACTTCAAAAACTTTTATTTTACTCAGGATTAATTTTGGCGTCAGAAATAAGAAAAGATCTTAAGAACTGAGAATAAGAAAAGTATTGCGATTTCCTTCTGTCTCCGTATTAGGAATATCAATCAATCTTTATTTTTGTATTTGGAACAATATGTGAAAGAGTCTGTTTCCTTTTGCAGAACGTCGGCAAACGTACTGTTTAGCATAGATTATGCCTTCGTTCGGAGGAATCTTAACTATGCAAGCAATCATTATTATGAAAGAATATTCGCAATGATTAAGTACAGTGGGAAAAGTTTTGATTAACTGCGTAATGGACGTGAAATGTTACTAAGCTTCGGATATTTTCATTTTGTACACTGACTGTATATCGCCAATTAAAGATTTATTTTAAATCTAATAGTTTGTATTCAATGTATGCGGTAATGATAATGCTCTTTTTGTCTTCTATTATAGTAGAGGTAGTGTACGTTCGTGTCTATGAGAAAAAAACCGATATAAACATTAGAATAGTGCATGGTATTTTGAAATAACAAAATCACTAATCTCTTCCTCATCATGTTTATAAACATTCTGACATGTATGTTATTATAAAAGCCACTTAATTGACATGACTCTTATTTTTTATATTGGTCAAGAGTACTCACTTCGTTTCAATCAGAAAAATGAAAAGAATAATAAAGTAGTGCACAAGTAGATTTTTTGACATTTGATGACACTCATTAAACTTTTACGTTTGCCATTAGTAACCTACACGACTGAGAAACTTTGTAATAGAAATGTACGAGAAAATACTGTTAATCATAATCAATGAGTCAAACTCTGGTATCGATGGTGTCTATGGAAACACGAAGTTCTTAAATAGTCATCATGACATGACAGTTTCATCATGATTAAAGGTTGACTGAGTGACTAAAAATGATATTCAATATCAAAACTAATGTAGATGTTGTAGTACACATTTCTAAAACATAGACAGAGGAATGTGACCATCAACACGCTGCACAGCATTGTACACAAGCTCATCTTTTTAGATTACTATTACATATCCTGGGAAAGTATTATGTCCTTTTTTAATCAAAAAAATTTTCTGTGGGAGAATGTTGTTATTTTGTGTTTTCGATGATTAAAAGGGAATTATTGGCTACTAATTATCTTTGCATTTCTCTCTAATCCTTCAAAATGAATTGGATGAAAACTATCGATATATACGTCGGTTGACAATTAAAAATAGAACAGACAATACAATGTCGCTGTGAAGTTGACTTGTTCATATATACCGACAGAATAACAAGTGAGAAGAAGACGTGATTGTGAAACGAACATATCTGAGAGAGAGAGAGAATGACGCTGCATCCTAACTCATCATTCACAGTTCGATGGATACATCATCCAATGTTCCCACAATAAAACGAGTAATAGGAATAACATTTCTATCGTATTCATTATTAAATAGACCGGCTACGATAGTTTAACAAATTAAATTTAAATGCACAGAGATGCATTGTTGTAAAACCTACTACATATTCGCATCGAATTATCATATATGCTGATCTGGCGATTACAGTTTTCCGAGTATGAGCTCCGAGCACTTTATACTGAATACAAGTACAAGATCTCCAAGATTCGGGAAACATCACCTCATATTTCCAGTGTCTATGTAGAATCCTTTTCCACATCTTTTGAAACTGACACGAACTTTTCAGCTACGTTCAGGAATTAGATAGAAATCCCACGTTTCCATCGGTGCCCTTTACGTCTCTCCCTGTAATGTCATCTTATCGCGCTAAAAATTTTATCATTTATAGCTTGTCGAGTATCTTCTGTAGCTAAAGCTTTTTTCGAAAAATATTATTTCTTTCAAAAGTCATAGCGAAAATACTCAGAAATTCTTAAAACCGGGAACAAAAGTTTTAAAACCTGGGATTTTGATCAGAGAATCTCGGTACACGGTATTAAATTATCTTCCTTCATGTATAAACGCGTAGCCCTAAAAGTAATGTGTGAACATTTCTCTCATTCGTGTCAACGAGCGATAGAAATATTTTCCGGTTGTGACGACTTATATTTGTGCAAGTTTCGCTATTATTTTTTAGTTCAGTTGTTCACGGCAGTTTCATGTGCGAACACGAGGGAATATTCCATGCGGGAATTAGCGTGCAAAAGTATCTTGCTAGAGAACACATGAGGATAAAAAAATGTCTTTCATAAACACCAGTTAATTTATCGTTTCCGTTACGTATCGCAACACTTTTACACGAGTGACCATTCTTTAATGTTTCACTAGAGCACACGCGTGAACAAAACGACAAATTTACTAATGTCCACGGATAGCTGGACGTTTTCTCACTGGTTTCCCCTATTTTTTTAGTAGGTTTTTTTAATAGGTGATGCCACCGGCTCTCGAAGGTACCCTCGTGATCTACAATAATCCAGTACTCTTCAAGAGTACTAGGACATTCATGTAGCAGTGTACTCGTATAGGTACCTAAGAAAAATGCAACTACAAGGATACCTATCGTCAGGTACAGTCACTAGAGTAGAGTTCGTTGAGCTTTACAACATCGATTACAGGACAAAGATGAAACAATTCATTCTTGATTTTGTAAAAAATTTTTTCTGTATTCTTGCTTATAACTCATCGATTTTCACACAAATACAGAGATCTCTGGTACAAGTACGCAACAATTCGTTTTGGTGATGTTTTAGTAAGAGAAAGATGACGTTGTTTAATTACAGAACAAATTAGTACTGCCGAGGTGAGCGACAGAATACGTGAAAAATTTCTATATCATCATTACCAAGAGTATAATCCAAAAGAAGAGAAGAAGGAAAAACAAGTCGTATGTCTCATGGATGTTGATGCAGAAGCATGTATAAACTCTGACATTTTTTGATCTCTTAACAACGTTTCAACGTAAAAGGAAACGAAAATTTTTGATTAGTTTTAATTACTGCTATTTACGCATGTCTACTATATTTTTTCTGTGAAAGTATGTTCAAAAATATATGTAAAAGGTCACAAAATTTCATTTAACTAAATCGAAATCAGACTGAAAATTGCTCTTCTCGGCATATTTCAAGGACCCCTTTCTACCGTTACCATTGTGTGGAAGCAATTCTCTACGTGCGAACACGATGCAGATGGATTCAATGCTTGAGAGTTCACTCCTATGAAAAATGCTTCATATCATGTTAACAATCAAACTCTTCTTCTTAGCAGTGAAATTGTGGATAGCGTTCATGCAATATCACTATAACTAGATGTGCATTGCATAACTGATAACGAATAACAGTATTTGTGACTGTTGGTGATTGTGCGTGAGTATACAGCTTGTGAGAGGAAACGCCCTTAATTTCTTATCTTTGATATCGAAAGTCATTGGCTTTGAACAGCAACGGTGAGACTTTTTGAAATTGTTATTAAGAATAATAGAGAAAGCAAAAGAGAACACTTGTTTTTATCATTATGTAGATTCAATTACAGTACGATATTATAGAAAAATGTTTCATTTAATATTGAACCGTAGTACGATCCAACGTTTTCCAATACATTTTCACGTCGAATGTATACGTCACTGGTATGTCGCATTGGTTGCATTCAAAATATGAGCGTATAAAAAATAATAGCGAAACTTGTACAAATATAAGTCATTACAACCGGAAAATATTTCTATCGCTCGTTGACACGAATGAGAGAAATGTTCACAC